AATAAACGTGATTGTTCTTGGACTACATTGCAATAAATAAATATTGGAGTAGTGGGGAATCTGCAAATAATATAATGAATTTCAATGGGGCAATAATATAAACATCATTTTAAATACACGACTTGAATTTTACAGGTACAATCTATGAACATTACATGTCAGTATGTAAAGTATGTTATTTGTAAATATGTACTTCTTTTTTGTCATATCCAATTTTATATGCGATAATTATATTTTATTATTTATCTTTTAGCAGTTTTAAATGCGATGTACTTCGTAAGGCGTTTTGTCATCCATTCGCATTTGTTTATTTTGTTTTTTTTAAACGGTTATAAGAATAATTTTTTTTACTTACACAATTTAGCCAATTTACACGATTATTTCGCATTGTGTACATTTTAATCACCATCATAACATGTATATAGTTTATTTAAATAGTCCTTTTTCTCAGTCATCGCTTTATGTCATTCGTATATTGTTATAATTTTTATTTATCTTTTATGTTATTAATTTTATTTATTTTTCATCGGTTTTGAGCGTTGTATATATCATAAGAAGCTTTGTCTTTCATTCAAATTTTATTACTATTATTTTTCTCTTGAAGGTTATAGGAATATATTGTAAGGCAGATCCTTCTACTTGATATATCCGGGAAAGGGATATATTTGTTCGAAATAACAAAGTGGTTGTTGACTACTGTAACCGGTTAGTACAATCTAAACGGTAACCGTAATGGACTGGTCCTCGTCGTAGTGGTAGGCAATAGGCGTAGACAATAGACGTAGTCTATAGGCGTAGCCAATAGACGCCATCCCTTTACCTCCACATCAGTCCGTATTAATGGCTGACACCAGCCAATCATATTACTGTGAGGGGGAACCCAGGTGTATGCATATTCATTACATCACTACTTTCTTTTTTTTCGCAATTTAATTTAATTTAATTCAAGAGTGTTTCATAATTTGTTGTGTGCTAACCGACTCCATAATTTGTAAATAGGTTTTTAATCAGTTTTAATGAATATTGTTGTGTTTTATCTTTTTGTGTACAGTGAAAACACACGGTATGTTAATGGATAATTATTCGAAAGTTGAGAATACGTCCATTTGAAAGTTAACTGACCAGTGTTAATACTGGGAATCGGGTTGAGCGATGCGAATGAAAAAAAAAATATACCGTAAATATTTAGAGTATGACATCAGACCATACTCAGGAAACAAAAAAAGTGCTAAATTTAAGAACGTTAATTTACCTCCTCGGTTATCCATTGAAACTGCTATCCATCAAAAATAAAGAAAAGAATACAGTCTCGACTGTGGACCATTTAAAAGACAGTTCGCGTAGTGAATTGATTGTTAAAAACATCCAATCGGGTGTGCAGAAAACGTGGTCTATCTTTGTCTAATTCATTAAAAGAGCCAGAGTATCTGCAAGCATTTGATTGCGAGTGGGAATCAGGGTTTGATGTCCCCTGATTGGGTCGACTTGGTGATGGGTTGTATGATGTTGAAAGACTCCAAACTCCCTGATGAACCAAGTCAATTTACATCACTGATGACTCCCTCTGGCGCCTACTTAAGAGCGTATATTTGAATATATACTTGCACATATCGTATATATATATATATATATATATATATATATATTAAAATGAAAGAGAAGAGAGGTTCCGCAAACGTTTTCGGTTGTAATGCGGATTTTTTTTTTTTAGAAAAAAAATATTATGCTTTTTTTTCTCCATAATTTTACTACACGAGTTTCTGGTCTCGCGACCGTCTTCAGATAAAAGCGGAGATTTCCACATATTATTAAAAATAATTAATTTTTTCCTTTATGCTTTTCAATGTTAAATATTGTCGATATGAGACATTCTATGTTTTTGTGTTAGTAATCCGAATGTCTTTCTTTCAATTCAAGATGCATACTTTTCTCTCGTTGGAACCACTACAACCTCTTTCTCTTATATATATATATATATATATATATATATGTGTGTGTGTGTGTGTGTGTGTGTGTGTGTGTCTATGTCTGTGTTAATATATATATATATATATATATATATATATATATATATATATATATATTATGTTTTTATCATGTATATATATGCATTCATATTGTGGGTGAGATATAATTAATTTGGACGACAGCTCAATTTATATTTAAAGAAATATTTTTCCAAAGGGCAAATTGCCACTCTTTAAAAGATTCGGATATTTTCTTTCGATCATTTATTATTATATTGAGGATGGATCAATGTCGGTAATGGGAAGCAAATAAGTACCGAAAATTTCCCCGTTCGATTTTGTCCGGGGTCATTCGTTTTAATCCCTCGTATCTATTTTCGTTTACATATCACATTCTGATCATATTTATCATGAACACTAAGTATTTGAGTAAATATCATTAGCGGATCAGAAATGGAAGCCGGCTTATTGTCATGTTATCCACCATTCACCAAATTTTAATATGTTAGTTTCCACTTAAAATAAACCGAGGAAGTTCTTTTTGTAGTGGGAATATTCGTCATGGTTTTATGTGGAATCTTTCCGCACTCATTGACCGAGTACTTGTGCTAATCACGCGACGTTTTGCTTCAAAACCTGGCCATGCTTACATGGCACGGGGATCCATCCCTGTGCTGGTGGTATCACGGCTACGACTAGCTTGGACCTGCTCTGATCAGATTGGACTAATATGACAAGCCAAGACCAGCTATGGCTAGCTTAGACCAGCTCTGACCACCTTGGACAAACTATGACCAGCTCAGACCAGCTTGGACCAGTGGCCTGAGTGAAAACACTCTGTTCTCCATGTTAAAAAAAAGAGATCTTGTTTGACAACCTGACTCAGTGGGGTCAAGTAATTATCTATTGCAAAATAGTGTAAGCAATCATGATCTATAATCCGATGCCAATGAAGAGCTTGTTAAAGTGTAAACAGTTTAAACCAATTGGAGAATACATGGAATAGACATAATAAAAGTTGAAACCTTGTCTAATTATAAAGTCACCGATGTCAAAATCACATTATAATTAAACATCGATACAAACGTTGAAAATGAAAGGACGCTTAACATGAAGATTTCATTGGAAATTTCTTGCTTGTGCATATTTATACAAGCCAGCTGATCACTTTATGCTTGATTCCTGCTTTTGTTTTAGTGTTCGTCGCTACTGTTTAATTAGATGGCACCTTGTCATAGTGGGGAGTCAAGTAAATCTCCTTATATGGCACAGGATTTAATCATTGTCAATGAGGATTTTACAGAGCCGTGGTTGTTTTATTAGAGTTCTATTTCTTCTCATTTAAATGGGAGTATTTTCACAGCCCCGGGTATTCCAGCCCTGCGACAGCATCTTCCTCATTGTACTCATGAGGTTGGGTCGGTGTAATACCGATGACAGCATGACAGAGGTCGCGGTGGCTTGGGAAAATGTTCTTGTCCCTTGTGGATAAGTATGTGAATGGCGCTCCCTTCATTAAAATGACCATATCTCAGATCCAGCCATGGTCGGGGAATCTGGCTGGGATCAAAGTGTAGTATCAATTCTTGGGCGGATAAATTGCATTTTCCTTTTCAATTGTGTCCCTGTCTTCAGACAAAGCGCAACTGAAAATATTGAGTGGTGCCCGGTCCCTGGAAAATGCGTCATCAAAGAGCGTTGTTCGGTTGTCATATCGATTTAAGCGAGGGTATTTTTGAACATTGTCCTATTGCACTGAAATTAAACTCACCTTGTATCACATGCTGCCAGCATATAGCGCCAACTAATTACACTCTACCTGTGGATGGATAAACTACACTTTATGTCTATATCTCTGAAATGAGGGATCATGATTATTTACATTATGCGGACTGTTATCCTTATCTTCATTGCTATAATGACAACGTTTCTGCCGATGTACGCTCCGGCATTCTTCAGATGATTGTAATTTCAAACTGAACCATTTATTTCGTCCACCAGGGTAGACTCTTCTAGTTTCACGTGCCATACCTTTTCCAGATGTCTCTGTTATTTCCCTTTAATTCATTCAATTTTTTTTTGGTTTACCATTGCTATAGCCTGGTATCGAACTCACAACGCTTTGGATCTAGTCACTGCTTCTAACCAACGCCTTTATGCATTGGGTCATGTGTCCTCGAGGTCATGTGTTAATAAATTGTTCAAGGATCTGAACGTGCCTCAAAGAATGTCAGATTTTCCTGCGATTCGATTTTCATGGTGAGCTTTTGATTGAACGTCAGAAGACATGTCACCCACCGAGCAGACACCTACGTCATGCCAAGTTCATTGTACAGATTATTCTTAAATGTTTCATGCGATATGCTGCTTGCATTTTCTGTTTGATTATCGTCAATCGCGTGTCATCCGTCAACATGTAGTGAAAACGATCAATATTTTCGTCGGTGGCGGCAGTTGTACGACGTCCAAACCTTGGGTCATCTACAAAACTTTGCTTATTACTCTCCTATATTCAGCTGCCCGCCTTTGCTCTACTGAATAGAGTTGAATTATCAACTCCTAATGTAGCATCTATGTCAGCATGAATGTCCTTAAAACCATTTTTCTGAAGGTACTTGATAACACCACGTTGCCAAAGTGTGTCTATTTTCAAGAGATGTCGCTACTAGTTACATTTCAAGTCTTCTTTGAACAGTTAGTTACCTGGAAAGAAACAATGCTGTTATTAATAAGAAGATTTTGAATTAACTTACGCAAGATTTAACAACATTAGCATCGATCTTACATAATCGGCCTATGACCTTGTCAGCCCACCCTCGTATTTCAAATTTCTATATAAAGCTAATTTAATTATTTCTTTTTCTTGTGATAAATCATTTTAAAATATCATTCTTTTTATTGCTACTTTAATTAGTTTTTCAAGCAAATAAGATGAATTTCCCTTCATAATTTCGAAAACACAGGGAAAAGAAAAACGTGTTTGAATCGTTGCCAAGCTTTTAATAGAAATCGGAGAAAAACTCTAGAACGACGATGATTTCTTCACATGCGTAAAGCCAAGATAAATAATATTTACTTTGTGTCAAATAGGAATTTTCGCAAAAGAAACGCGTTGGGAAAATATCCATAATTCAAAGAAAGAAGAGAAGTAGCAGAGTTAATCTCCTTTTTTGCGCTTATTTATTTTTTCAGACATATAAAGGCACATATTTCAGTATAAATAATAAATAACAGCTTTTAATTCAGTAAGTGTATTCATAGCCTCTGTCTCTCTCTAAAACGCATCTGTTTATATATCTATTCATACCTCTCTCTCGCTAGGTTTATCTATCTATCTATCTATCTATCTATCTATCTATCTATCTATCTATCTACAGTCTGTTCATATCTATCTATCTATCTATCTATCTATCTATCTATCTATCTATCTATCTATCCCAATCTCAGCAGTACCATTTAAGTACTGTTGATCTTTATATATATTAGGAGATAGATATGAAGAGATTCAGTAAGTGTAACAGATAGATAGATAGATATGAAGAGATTCAGTGAGCCTCTTTCTCTCTCTAAAACGCATCTGTCTATATATCTATTCATACCTCTCTCTTACTAGGCCTGCCTATCTATCTATCTATCTATCTATCTAACTATCTATCTATCTATCACAGTCTGTCCATATCTATCTATCTATCTATCTATCTATCTAATTTGCCACTGTCACCCTCTACGTGCCTAATGTTCTTCCCTAATATATGTATTCAACTGTATCTTTCTATGTATTCATGTTTATCTCATTATCCCTATCTATCTTTATTCATGCGTATCTCTTTATCTCTTCATATGTATTTCATTATATCAATTCATATCTATCTATCTATCTATCTATTTGCGATTTTTCATATGTATCACTTTATTTCTTCATAACGATTTCATTACCTCTAGTCGTATATATTTATCTACCTATCGATCTATCTTATATGATAAATGCGAAAATGTGACACAACCCTCAAACTTTCAGTTATCTCAACTTCTTTATCCATCATCTTTATATAATAAATGCGAAAATGTCTGTGTCACAATTTTTCGATTAAAGGGACACAACACTCTAACTTTCAATTATCTCGCTTCTTTATCTCTCTTCTTCTATAATTGATGCGAAAATGTCTGTCTTTTTCAATTAAAGGGATACAACTTCGAAAAAATTCTTACATCTGGAGCCATGTTCAACGACTCAGCCTGAAAGCAAACACGAGAATTAGAATCACGGGTGACCATGAAGCTGGGAGTTTTGCTGCTTTGTTGTTGCTGCTTGGGAATGGAAGCATCAAAATGGAAGTCTCAAGTATCCATGACATGATTAATCATTTTTATCCAAATATTAAAACACCATTTTATGGATGCAAACTGGATTTGTGAGATTGCAATATTAGCCCCCAAGAATCAAAATATGGATAGCATCTATTGAAAACTTCTGCACGAAATTCTAAAAAAAAGCATAAAGTACTTTGACACTGTGGTTGAAAAAGAGTAGGCAGTGAATTATGCCCTGAACTCATTGAAATCCTCCTGGAATGCCATTACACAAGCTGGAACTAGAAGAAAATGTGCCAGTTATGATATTGAGAAATCTATATCCTTCAAAGCTTTGTAATGAAACAAAATTAATTCCCAAGAAGATGCTTTCTCATCTCTTGAAAGCACAGAGATCCTTACTGGTCCAGGGAAGAAGGAAAGAGTTTTAATTCCAAGAATTTCCTTATTTCCTCCAGATCTTCCTTTTGAGTTCAAAAGACTTCGATTTCTAGTGAGAGCGAGGTATGCAATGACAATCAATACGTCCCAATGGCATTCACCTGATGGAACGCTGCATTTCTCATGTAGGTTGTTTCTATGTAGCTTGTTCAGGCTATTTGTAATGGACCATAATAGAAAAAGCCAAAATTGTTATTTCGCATGCAGCTTTACAGTAAGTTCCAAATAGAAAATTATATCATTGTTTTGATGAATGTTGTTTGAAAAATATTGTACATTTTTAATAAAATTTAATATGTGCATGAAATGTCACTGTTGGGCCGAATGAAGACCCCGCTGCAAGATCAAGCTTTTAACATTTATGTTAAAACTAGCTCTTGCATATATTATTTATATATATATTTACATGTATCTCTACATCTTCACAAAAATTTTATTATCGCTATGCATATCTATCTATCTATCTATCTATCTATCTATCTATCTATCCGACACTTCTACGGGCCTAATTTTCTGCCATGATATATTTATTCAAATGTATCTCTCTACCTATTCATACTTATCGCAATATCCTTATTCATATTCATCTATCTATCTATCTATCTATTTATCTATCTATCTATAATATATAATTTTACCTATACAACCATTACTGGTATCTAATTATTCTAATTAGTTCATATATATATATATATATATATATATATATATATATATATATATATATATATATATATTCATTCACGTATGGTAGGTGGTTGTAGAATATTGTTTACGAAAAGTTTCAATTTTTATCTCGACTAATGCTACAACATTTTTCGAACGAATATTTTTAGAAAAAGTCTAAATTAATTAACCAAGCATGCTTGTATACACACACACATACACACACATATGAAAAGACGATGGACATAAGAGTAAGACTGATCAAAACAGATAAGTCAAATTTTTCAAGATCAGTGTTCCGTTTCACAATATGATCACGTCGGCGTCATGTGGGCGATGTTGTGAAAGCGTATTCCTAAATAGAGTATTTTGAATGAAAAAAAAAAAATATATATATACACACACACACACACACACACACACATATATATATATATATATATATATATATATATATATATATATATATATATATATATATAAATTATTATTCGAACCTTTCGAGAACGAATATATTTTTTTGGTCCATTTCATAATGTGTGACGTCATTTGTTTACATTTGATACGCCATGAGCAGATATGAATGTACGTGAGAGAATCATGGAAGATTGAAGTTTAAAGGCAGTAAATTCGCCCTTGCTAATCGAAAGATTCACTGTGGCTCGATCGGTTAAGAGCACGTCAGGCTAAATGACGCTCCGTATAGCATACAGATTCGCATCCTGTCGGAGAACGAATATTTTCTATGAAAATTTCTCTGACATTCAGGCCGGTAGATGTTGTTTAATACTGTTTATTATAAACGGAACATTTACTTAAATATTTGTATCTATAAAAAAGCATGTATAAACAATATATATATATATATATATATATATATATATATATATATATATATATATATATATATAAAATATATTTTTAAAAAAAATTTATAACATAAGTATGTTATAAAATCACTACAAAAATAGCCATTTTGTTTCAACAAACTCTGTGTCTTATCAAGTGATGATGTTGAAAAGAGTGTGTGGAAACAAAATGTCTATTTTGTAGTGATTTTATAATATACATATGTTATAATTTTTTTATAAAAATAATTATATCTGCTCTACTTTGTATTGAGCACTGTTTTAAGAATAGTAATTGTTGGTTATTGGAATTCATTCCGCCGTATATACCAATTATATACTTGTATATATATATATATATATATATATATATATATATATATATATATATATATATATATATATATATATATATATATATATATATATATATATAACGAGTGGTTCGAACGCTGGCAGGAAAAATGTTATCGGACTGAATGGGGTCGATTCTTTGGTTGATCAGGCTAGATAACACGCTCTCTTTCCTAGAAACTGTCACTAAGGTCCGCTCAGTATAGTTGCAGTATATATCTGGCTCTGTATATATATATATATATATATATATATATATATATATATATATATATATAAAGGGCAAGACTGGTACCCATGGAATAAAATTACAATTACCAAAAAACACTATTCTTAAAAGAATGCTCATTACCCAGTGGAGCTAATAATATTTATTCAGATTTATAATATGTGCATGTTATAAGATCACTACAATAGTTACAACTTGTTTTTCTAAACTTCTGCTGTCTTATCAAGTGATTATGTTGATTTGGAAATAATCGACTTTAAGATTTCAGAAACAAATCAAAGCCCCCCCCCCAGTAGGGGAAATTTTGTTACATAACCTATGATCACTAATCAGAATACAAATATATGATAAATTAAAATTTAACATGACGACATACTTTTATTTTTAAAATACGGTGCTCGCTACAGCAGTAGAGCATAGAATTATGGTAATATATTAAAAAAATACAATTATATGATTCGATCTTTCCAGCATGTAAGCTTCTTTATTGTGGGTACGATTTAATATTTTTGTACGACAATTCATTTTATATATAAAGTAATCTCACAATCATCAAATTCTTATTCCTTAAAGGATTAGGACAATTAATTTCATGATTGATAACCTGTATTAATATTAGGTGTATATCAATCGGAGGATTCAGTTGTCTAATGTTCAATATATGCCAGGAATACAAATTTGTTTGTGCAAGTAGAGAGATGAAGAAGAATATTATGCTGAAAATAATTTTAATTCTGTGTCAAATATTTTTTAAACTTAGTCTTGATATAAATATTAATAATATATATATAAGCACAGTCATCTCTTTGTAAAATCTGCGATACCAACATGATATAAATCTTAAACTTAGATTTTTTTTTCTCATTTTACTCCATTTCTTTTTCTTCCGGTGAGCTCATTTTAGTGAGAATTTTACTTCACTCTCTGCTGTTTTTATTCGACTCAAGGCAAAAGCAGCATCAAACAGAAATGTCCTACCTATTTAGAACACAGATAAAAGACAAATTTTCAATCTTTTAGGCTCACTGGCTTTAAACGTCATGATTAGCTAGATGTAAAATGGTTTATAAATAGATACGGAACATTTATGAAAGCAAAGATAACATAAATTCTATTTATTACCTAAATACAAATCAAAATATTTATTCACTGTAATCATTACGCATCTTATGAGAGAAAATATTCCGCTGTGAAGATGATATTGAAAAAACAATAATAACGCTTACCATTTAGGGTCGAATGCATTTGAAGCCAGCACCAGCATGTAGGGTAACGTAGCAGTTAACGGCACGATGGATAGGTGGGATAAGAGAGCAGGGTCAGGTTTAGCCTGTGAGTTCATTTCCAACTAATATACTTGTGAAAGATATTAATCCACTTATATGTTAAACTAAGTTGTCAAGCCTTGGATGACAGCCTGTCTAGAAGGAAACTCTGAATTTAAACTTGCGGAGAAGACAGAGTGATAACTCTCCATATTTTTGCCACTAGGTTGATCTCGGTGTACACTTGAATTTGCATACGCGCTATCCTTGTTATCGGGCACTTTAATCCATAAATACAGCATAACTTGAAACTATCTTTTTTATCATATATATATATATATATATATATATATATATATATATATATATATATATATATATATATATATATACCCAAGTGTATAATTCGTGTATACGAATGAATTCCAATAACCAACAATTTTAATTGTGTATGTATGTATGTGTTGGTTTTCCCCCTTTTTTTGTCATAAAGGGCCGTGAAGATGTTCTCTGCCTTGTGACTTTTTTTTGTGTGTATATATATATATATCTAAATATGTCTGGGTGGTTATGTATTATAATCTGATTGTGTTTGTGTTGTTTTACACGTGAGTTTAGGACCGCATTCACACACTTGGGATTAAAATGTATACATATATATTGTCAGAGGACCGGATGACGTAGCGTCTATTCTAACGTAATTTCAACGAAGAAATAAACTGAATTTCTTTTCTCCTCAGTAATTTTATGATTTTAAACTTAATAGCGATTGAATTTGAATGTTAAAATTGGCAGTTTTTAATTTAACATCAAAGTTTATCATATAATTTAATAATTATTGGTTAGAATAAATTCTTTTTTAATATTACCCGTATTTTAAAGATCTGAATAGCTATTATAATATGACTTCGTTGTCAAGCTTTTTGAATTTTTCTATCTATTTTGATTGGTCATTCTAGCTTTTATAACAACGTTTTCCCCTTGAGAATGATCGTTAATTAATTTGAAACTTTTAAAACCATTTATTTAAAACCATCACTTGATAAGTGTGTATTTTTGTAGCGATTTTATAACATATAAATATAACATATGTTATAAATCTTTTTAATAAATAATTACATATATATATATATATATATATATATATATATATATATATATATATATATATATATATATATGCAATTTGTATTTAGGCAGCAAATTATAATATAGAAGGAAAAATTCCATATTGGATATGTTTTTCAAGTTCAAATGAACGCTCAGAATATTGGCAACCGTTTTGCATTTAAAAGCATAATGAAAAAAATTACGATAATAGATAACAACGCACAACTTTATATAAATACTTCTACTAATGAACAGCATATTGTTTTTTATTACTTGCACTCATGAAGATGATCTTGGAAGAAGATCGAAAGTACTTGGTAAATGAAAATAAAAGAAATTCAAACTGCTATAGCACATTTCTCTCATACTTTAACATCAATACATGGATGGTTATCCGTGAGTATGAACGGATTTTATTAAAAATTAATAGACATAATGTCTGTAATTTATTCAATCAGATATACCTCATATATATATATATATATATATATATATATATTACAGTAAAATTCTGCCTTTATATGTCCCTGGGACCACTCGTGTTAGAGGATTATGTTAGAAGACAATTTCTTCGGATGGGTTAAGCCTAGCCTTGAACGGGGAAATATCCTCTTAGGATTCAGTTCTACACAGGAGTCATTCATGGGAAGAAGCTGTTGGAGTGGAATTTATCTCTCACCGTTGTAATAAGGAGGAAATATGAGTGGTTTACTACTATGCAAATAGCATGTTGTGTCCTTGCTATGAAGGTTTGAACTGGCAGGACCAGTGAATGTAGTTCGTTCGAGCACTTTCCGTCAAAGAAGCAATAGAACAGCGTGTCGCTTGATACACCCAGCTTGTGGGAGAGAGTTAGGAGGGTTGAAAATAATTCGTCACCCACATGGATTCAGAGACGCTTTTGGACTCTATCAAGGCTGGAAAGTGAGGTCACAGCTTAGTATAGCACGAGGATAAATAGGAGTAGGAAGATTGATATGCCAACTGGTCCAGGTTGAGTGTTTCTTCCTTCCTTGAAAATCAGCATTTTAAATCTTTTCTTTCAACTCAGTTTGAACACAAATTGAACACAGCTTGGACAACAGATTGAGATATATGACTATGAAGCAAGTGTCATTAGAAGGGTCAAGTCTAATTGAAACAGGTTTGTTTG